TCACAAAAAAAAAAAAAAAAAAAAATCATTTTATGAATCATGAGTAAATATTAACTTCATAATTCTAGATAAAATAAATTAAATAAAAAATTAGAAGAATAAAAAATTGGAAAGAAATAAACAAACATGCGCATCAAAATATACCATTTTTATTATTGGTTGCTCTCTAGTCAAAATTAGCAAATATTTATTTAATTGGATGCACAAATCAAAAGTGAATGTTAATTTAAAAAATGATTTCTCATGATAGCATTATTGATTAAAATAATAATAATAATAAGGATGATTTTGTACAATCATAAACATGTAAGGCCTTTTTCATATTTCTAAATATTTTATAATTTTTAACCATTTTTTCATGTCACGAACCCTGCTTGATCTTCTCTAGAAAAGTTCTCATATGAGGTTTTTGAAAGATGGGAAAAAAGCTTAATTTTTATTTGTCTTATCAAGCTCCAAGACAAATAAAGTTGATTTTTAGCAAATTCTTAAACATATTATGATGGCAAAATCTCAAGAGAAGATAAAAAATAAATAAATAAATAAATAAATAAGAATTTACAAGGATGGGTGCAAAAAATCTTACCATATTATAGTATTTAAATTGCCAATCTAAAATCTCAATAACAATAAGTGCTCTAATGATTTTTCTAACAGGTTCCCACATGCTGCTTTAAGCAATTAAAATTGGAAAAATTGAACGTGGAGTGTTTGATAATTTATACATGAACATAAATATTTTAATATAATAAAACAAAAGATTTTTTATTTTTTTTTGTAAGTTCAACGAAAGGCAAGTCTTGGATACTGTTCAAGACTTACCTTTTTCATAATGCATTTTCTGTTTTTCACACTGTCCAAAATTTCCAAATAAAACTACAACACAAAACAATAAAAATTTAAAACAAATTAGAAGAGTATTATTTTAAGACAAAATAAAAGTATACACATATCCGGTTATAATTTATAGCAGGAAATGACATTTAAACATTTAACAACAAAATATTTAAATGATGAGAGAAAATATATGTATGCATACATATGTGGAAAGAGCAAGTATAATAAGTTAATTATACCTAGAATTATAATAAATAGATAGGAGAAGTTAGACTACAAAATTAAAGCAGAATAGCAAAAATTTGCAATGAAACAAACAAAAATCTTGAATTTGAAAGCCAAAAAAATTCAAAATTATAATTACCTGATAAGTTTGTTTATATATAGTCAATAAAAAACGTGGGTTATATAGAAATTTAAATATATAGTGTATACCTTTAGAGATTTTTCCTAGAGGCGTGGGTCTTTTATGGGAGATAAATGATATTAAGTAATTATAGATATAATTGTTTACCAAATTTAGTTTTTCTTTTTTTATTATTTTTTTTATATCACTCTATATATATATTTTTATATTATATATATTTTTTTATATCAATTTTTTTTTTTCTATCACCCTATGTTATAATCTTACTATATATATATAGGGAGATGTTATTCGTACTCCACTTTTCTACGTTTGCACTACAATTTTAAATGAAATGGCAATTATAACCTTAACTTTACAAATAAATGATTATTACTTTTTAAATAACACAACCATCTTTTCTAATTTTCTCTCATCATCTCTAATCTTTAATATTTTAGGTCACTTTCGCAAAAAAAATATTTTGTTAAAAAAAATTATTGAATAATATTTTGTTTCCGGGACCACAAAAAAAAAAAATTAATAATTATGTTGAATAAATTGTTTCCTTTGACTAGACCAACAATAAAAAAGTAACCATTAAAATAATTATCTCTTTTGAGAGAAAAAAAAAAAATCCAAAAAATATTTATTGAATAAATTATCTCTTTTGTCAAGATAAAATAATAATAATAATAAAATAAAATAAAAATTGAATAAATTATCTCTTTTGATAATGCCCAAAAATATATATATATATTTCTATTGAATAAATTATTTCTTTTGATGGGACCATAAAAAATCACAAAAAAAAAAAAAAAGTTATCTCTTTAGACATGAGTAAAAAAAAATCAACTTTGTTGAATAAATTATTTGTTTTGATTGCACAAAAAAAGTCACGAATCAATTATTTTTTTGATTTCAAAAAATAAAATTATCAATATCTAATAAATTATCTTCTTTGAAAGGAACTTCAAAAAAAAAAGGAAAAGAAATATATATATATATATATATATATTTTTTTTGTTAAAAAGGAAAAGAAATATTGCACAGGAAAAAAAATAGTTAATGAACTAAAGAAGGTAAAAAAAAAAAAATTAAAATTATATAAAGGTAGTTATGATATTATAAAATAGGGTAAAATACATTCAAACCTTTTAAGGTTGGGTCATTTATCACCTAGATGGAGATTTTGGTTTTAATTTTCACTCATATTTGAAAGAGTGATTTCGTATTTCGCTTACACCCCAAATATCAATTTGTAATAATGTCAGACTACTTTTTAGGTATAAAATGACTATGCTATCCTTTGACCTCCTATTAATTATTTTTGACCATTTTTGTGACCAAACTACCCCTAGCACAATAACCACAGCCCCACCTCTCTATTTTTCCACCGGCGTGACCTTCTCTCTCCTCTCCTATTCTTCCTCAACTACACCCATCAATCTTTAATAATTTTTTATCTTTAAAAAAAAACTACACCCATCAATCCTGCTCGTCCATCACGGTCATCACCCAAATCCCTCCTCACCAATCTCCGATGGCCCTTCCACCGGGGTACCCCGATTCACTTTGCTCCATTGACGGCCACCACGAACCCATCGCCAAACCACCATGGGCATCGGCGGCAGAATCAATGCATAGAGCTCGAAATTGTATGGGTTCATCGACGGCGGTTATGGAGTTGGTCATGGCTGTTCCGGTGGTCGGCGAAGCTATATTCGAATAGAGAGAGAGTCACTGACATTGTTTCAGCGGAGACTCGCCGAAAATGACGACATACGGCACAATCCCGACGTCATGGACGCCGGGAGGATCAAAGTTCGACTACCTCTCCCACCGGAACTGGTGGATTTTGACCATAACCAGCGTCCTGTCTTCTTCTTACTCTTAGTTTATTGAATTGTGTTCACTAAATTTAGGTTTTTTTTATTTATTTAAAAGAAAATTTCTTTTATTGTTTTGTATTATTATTAGAATTGATTGTTTTCTATTCCGGCCGGTGGTTTTTACATTCAGCATCATTCACTGAAGTGATTCACTGCCTATTGAGAAAGCCCCATGGCTGTTTAAATCATGTATTTTGTCTCATCCCCATCTACGAAAAGAGCATTTAGCAGTTCATTCCCCTTCTCTTCCAGCTATACATATTTCACAGGGCGAAATAAAAGAAAGAGAATGCAAAGAGCGGGTCAGTTCAAGAAAAGCAGAATGAGAGAGATAGACAGAAACCAACCCAAGCAAGCCATACAAATGGATGGAATGGACACACAGATAATTTCAATCTAAACAATAGTAAGCGGTAGTTAACATAGATAATTTCAATCCAAACAATAGTAAGCGTAGTTAACATAGATAATTTCAATCCAAACAATAGTAAGCGGTAGTTAACAGTGCTTGAATATATATATATATATATACATAAGGGCTTTATTTGTCATTTAAGATTATAGATATTTTTTATTAAAAAGTTAAGGGTAAAATGGTCAATTTGCATGTATCAAAGGTCAAAAATTAAGTTGGAGTATAAGCGAAAGTTAAAATCAAAATCTTCATCTAGTTGAAAATTAACCTAACCTAATTTGCCTTATAAAATAAGGCATGGTGTATTAATGAATTGAAGGACCTTCTTGTCATTTTCTTTAAAAGAAAAAGATAAGTTGAGTATAATTGGAGAAAAGTGGAGTGCTAATAATGCTTCCCTATATATATATCTTGAATATGCATTTTAATAAAAAAAAATTCTTAAAATAATAAATAATGATTAAATAAAATAAATTGTTTTTTTAGCCTCTTTTTTTTTTATTTTAATTTTTGGCTATAAATTTTAAAATTTTAATAAGGTATAAATGATAAGGTGTTTTAACGAGGATGTTAATGAAGTATAAATCATAAGGGCTTTAATGTGACTTTATTATACTTTTTGTATTTAAAAAAAAATATTAAGAAAGTAGATAATGGTCTTACATGTTTAAAATAGTATAGATATAGATATGTCGTGAATATGTATTTTAATAAAAAAAAAAAATTTAAATAATAAAATAATAATTAACTAAAATAAAATTTCTATTAAAAAGCAATATTTTTTTTAGCATTTTTTTCTTTGCTTTTAAATTTTAATTTTTGGCTATAAATTTTAAAATGTTAATGACGTATAAATAATAAGGGGTTTTAATAACGTTTAATTAGGCCTTTTGTATTATGTTAATGAAGTATAAATCATAAGGGTTTTAATGTGATTTTATTAGACTGTTTGTATTTAAAAAAAAAAAAATGTTAAGAAATTAGAGAAGGGCTTACGAATAGTATAAATTCGGAGGTGGTATCTTAAGTACATAAATCTTTTTTTATTATTTATTTTTATCATAAAATTCACATATTCATTTTGTTTCAAAATTCTAATTTAATATGTAATAAAGTATTACTAAACTATCTCCCTAGTAATTTATTTATTTAATATTATTTTTACACCCCAGTAATTTATTTTACAAATTACTCTCTCAACAACTATTTTGCAATTTAGCCTACTTAAATAAACAACAATTATTCATATAATTGTAAATATTTTATCTAACCTTCCTCTTTTATTTTGGACCAGAAAGGTGTCCTCTTTATTACCGACAATTTTTAATTTATTAACAAACTAAAAGAAGTAATGAATTTTAATTTGTAAGTACTAGAATAGTAATACAGTAGTTGAAATTTTAAGATCTTTTAAGTGCACATTAAATTGTTTTTAACAACCAAAATCCACGTGTCACATTGTCAGTCCACATTGACGTGCCGGCAACGAATAACAACGGAGCAAGCACAGAGTGCCTCTCCTCTGAAAGGTCCATCAAAGCACCGTGTCCTTTTCCTCTCTCTTTCTCTCTCTAAAATTTCCTCAATCATCGCCTTCTTTTCATCTCCTTCTTCTTGCCCCAACCTAACTAATCTTCTCACCTTCCTATCACTGCTGGAATTACCCATATCCCACCTAACCCTAATCCACCACCTGCAATTTACAACAATTCTATTTCAATTCAATCGATATATATAGAGTTACATATATATATATATATATATATATATATAACTGTTAGGGTTTAGAGATATGAGCTTTCAAGATCTCGAAGCGGGTCGTCCTTTGGCTTCCAGGCGAGGTTACATCAATGGCAAACAAGACCCAACGCAAGCCGTTGCTTCCGGAATTTTTCAGATCAACACCGCCGTCTCTACGTTTCAGAGGCTGGTTAATACCCTTGGTACACCTAAGGACACGCCCGAGCTCCGTGACAAGCTGTGAGAGCCATCTTCTTGATTTCTTTCTTTTCTTTTCTTTTCTTTTTTCCCTCTCTTTTCTTTTTCATGTCTGATTTGTTTCCAATCCTTAGGTTTCAATTGGTTGAGTATATTATATATAATACATACACGCATATGAAATTTGTAGCGGGTTCAATTTTTCGGTTGAATTGGTTCAGGTTCAGCATGATGGTGTTTCAAGATTGTTGCTTTTTTTAAGTGGCTCTGAATTATGAGTCTTGAACGAACGCCTAATATGTATAGTATGTTAACTTGTGGTATGTTGAGAAATTATAGTGATGTGGATGGCTCAAAAGTCTAAATTGAAATGGCAAAATATAACAGAACAGTTTCGATGATAGAAAACTTGTGTTTGGGAATGGAGATATGTATTACACCTATGTCAGCAATACTTTTGGTTTATAGAAGTTATTGTGTTTTATGTGACACAATGTAGTCATGAACTGATCCCTGGCCATTTGCCATCAAATCTCTCTCTAATTTGTTGGCATATACCCACTTACTTCCTTTTATCTTAAATTGACCACCATATTCAGGTTGAAGTTTCATAAAGAAAGTGCGTTGCTAATTTGCTAGGAAAAAGTAACTCTAAAGATTTAATGTGCATGCAAATGTATTCCAGTGCCCACTAGTTGCCAAAAGCCTAAAGCATAAGAATTTAGAAAAAATCACTGTAGCCCCCAAAAGCGGAGGGAGAGGTCCCATTTGAGGTGGTGATCGAATGACCAAATCGGCAATCAGGTGATGACCCTCCATTCCCCTAGTTTTTGACCATGTTTTCATGTCTCAAGGAAACTAAACCTTTCTCACTAAGGGATAAGGAATCAGGCCACACAAATCATTGCTACCAAATCCCAAATGAAGCTGAGGGGAATCAATTAATAATTAATTAATTGATTTAGGGGACTTTTGATGAGTCAAAAGCGGATTTGGATGGGGATCGCCAAGCATATCTTCCGCTTAACACATTGACTAAGGTAGTCTGTCTTCACAAGATCAATTCGGCTTTCAATATTGCAGAAACAGTGACAAAATCCTGCTAGGAACATCTCTGAGCCGAAAGGACTTTAGAAGAACTCATTAGGGTCTTTTCGCTAAAGAAGATTCTCTTAGAGTAGAGAATGAGATAATGCTGAGAGAGGTTTGACTGATAATGTTGATTAGGATCTCCAAACCATTTTTCAAGCATTTTCATGATGCAGAAAATCGGAGAATTTCTCCATGGAATCTTGTTTTTGTTATTGCCTCCTTCACATAATGGTAGTCATCAGTCCATTTCATTGGCACCTGCAATCACATCTTTGAGTTGTGCCATAATTTGATCTTAAATTTTGCTTACCTATAATCAAATCTGCAGGTCAAAAATCATACTTCTTTACGAGGTACAATCATCAATTATGTTACATGGACTGTTCAAAAGTAGGTTAAGTACTTGAGTCGGACACAATTACACAGACATGGGTCTGACATATGTGTCCGACACTTTTGATTGGACATGCACCTAAAAAGTGTATCATATAATTCAATTTCATTATATTATTATTTCAAAATGAGTGAAATGCCTATATTGGACACTGTTCTATATTAAGGCATTATTTTAGTCTAGAAAATAGAAAATAAGTACTCCCTCCGTCCCATATTAAGTGTCCTCGTTGGTAATTGTAACTCGCATTTTTGTGAGTTACAATTACCAACGAGGACACTTAATTTGGGACGGAGGGAGTAGTAAATAATATGAATACTAGCAGTGTCCCTGTGTTCTTTGTTTTTGGATTTGACACGTCCTATGCTTGGTTATGGACCTGCACCTGACACACTTACTCAAGTCCATGTAACATAGATCCTTTTGGAGGTTTCATTAAGGATGTGGCAAATAGATAAATTGGGGGGAGAGAATTACACACATCCTGAGGTTAGGGATAATTACAAGGACCTCACTAGTTTAAATAATGACACTTACCTTCCCTGTCAAAAAAATCCATTACGGACTGTTAGAGGAGATGGCAAAAGGACTAATGTACCCTTAAATTTTCTAATAACTTTTAAAATGACAAGTATATAAAATCAACATAAACTAAAAGGATTGTGTCCTATTCCTTGTGTTCTTTTTGTACCATTTCTCTCTCTAGAAAGAAAAAAATAATAATAGAAACAGCATTTATTGGACAATTATGCCTTAACATACTTTACAATTCATTTTGATGACATTGGCAGTAAACGGCATTGACTTGACACTTGACAGTGATGGAAAGGTAGAAACTGTTACAAAGGAGTATAACTCAGGGGAGGTAAATGATATTTTTTGAACTAATGGGGAGGTCTGTGTAATTATACCCAACGCCAACTAATTTCTATTCTAGCTTGGTCCTTAACCTTGCATCAAATCTGTAGTCCACGAGTCTCAACTAGCCAATCTAAACCAAATGCATAATTTAATAAGCCCACTTCACCAATATTTTAGGAAACTCTAGCTCTTAGTCTTCCTTGAGCCTTCCAAAAGAGTAAAGATCTCTGCCTTCAAGGTGAAATCAGTTCCTGAATGGTTTAGAGATAACGATGATGGGATTTATGATGCTGACCTTTTATCAGGACCAAGTTTTATCTACAACAGGGATAGTGACATGTACTGAAATATTAACAATTGTGAGATGAGAAAGTTATTTGTCAAATAGATAAATATATCATCTTCTTGAGTACTAATCGACCAACTAATGTATTCCATGTGGTATTTTTTTTTAATTTCCCCCCCTCCACACACACACCAACCATCCCCCAAGTTCAGACAGTCTAATTCTATGCTTGAGAATTTTCTAATTAAGAGGATCATTAGGCAAGTTATTGCATTTGTAATTTGCTTCATACTTTATTTATTTTTTGATAAGTAATTTGCGTCATACTTTATTGTATTTGCTCTTAGGCTTTCAGCTAAACTTTTGAAATTATAAGAAATATCAACGAATGGAACTTCAGGAGTTGAATTAAAAAGAAATAAATATGCCTAGATACATGAAATTTTATAGTTAACTAACTTTTTTATAATTCCCTATGAGCATTTGCAACAAGTTGCACGATAAGACATTCTCATGGTGGTCCTCATACTTAGTTTGCAATGAGTTGCATAATTTCTTTATTCCTTTTGAGCGTTTGGAACGAGTTTCACGATAGACTTACATCTTGCGGTGATCCTTATACTGAATTTGCTTAACTGGCAGGCACAAAACAAGGCAACATATTGGGCAATTGGTGAAGGATACTTCAGCTAAACTAAAACAAGCTAGTGAAACAGATCATCATGCTGAAGTTAGTGTAAGTTTTCTTTTTTAAGCCGGTGTCTAATGGTACTGGGAGTTCTCTCTCTCACGTCTGTTTTTTCGAGTTCCTAACTTTGAGATAATGAAGTAGCCATCTATTGCCTCTGTTTGAGAGGCATTTAACTTACTCAAGTCTCTCTCTGTTTCTACAGTACATCTAATCCATCCACCCATCCATTTTCCCATCTATCCATGTATCTAACTATGGTATGAACTTTGTTGTGCAGGCCAGCAAGAAGATTGCAGATGCTAAACTTGCAAAAGATTTCCAAGCAGTTTTGAAAGAGTTTCAGAAGGCTCAACGGCTTGCAGCTGAGAGAGAGACAGCATATACTCCTTTTGTTCCCCAAGCTGTTCTTCCTTCCAGGTAATTGTTGTAGGAGGATTAATGCCACAATGGTAGAAGGTTCCTTGAAATTGAATCTCGTTTGCATAACAGTGGCTGATGGCAGGGGCTGAGCCAGAATTATTCTTTCTTTATTATTATTATTATTTACTTTTATTTTTCTTTTTCTTGGGGGGGGGGGGGGGGGGGGAATAGTATTGATACGAATTGTGGACACTTTTTTTAAATTACATTTTGATTTCTAAAAAGCAAGACAAAAAAGTTCAATTGATTTTGAAGAGACTACACGTAAATTTCTTTTACAAACTTAATAAGTGACCATTAAATGGTTTTGAAAAAAAAAATATATGGGGGGACCAAGGGACCATTCTTTTGCAAACTTTCCATTAATAACCCTTATTTTACTACCCTCTAGCCCACCTTCAGCTCAGGCCCTGGCTGATGATTGGCTCTAACCTTTAAATGTGATTTTTTATTTTTATTTTTATTTTTTATAGCAATTTTGTAGGCAGTTTCTGGGCATTTATTAGTTAATGTTAGTGGTTGCAAGCACATTATTTGCGCACATCACTTATGGGCTCATCCATACAATTTTGACAGCTATACAGCCAGTGAGCTAGACGTAAGTACAGAGAAAAGTGCAGAACAACGTGCTCTACTTGTTGAATCTAGAAGGTGAGTTTTCCTCATGTTATGATTTATTTACTTATTTAATTGATTGGTTCTGTTTCTTATTATTGTTCTTAGAAATTTTGAAATTCTGTATTTATGAAATAATGTAATTGAAGTACCTTAGATAGTGTTGAATTTATTTTACTTCTCTTTTCTTCTCTCTATTTCTTTTTGTGGTGGCGGTTTTTTTCTTCTTCTTCTTCCTCTTTTTTCCCCAAGAATAGGAGTGGGGAAGGGTTTAAGCTTTGTATTTATACACAATCATATATTGTTGCACGCACCGGTCCAATATAATTTTGTCTGCTAAATTGCCTTGAACAATGCTAGAAGGCGAGGTCTAACTTTACCAGTTTTCAGTTCAAAAAAAAAATGAAAACAGAAGCATGTATTATTTCCTGCAAAATATAAACAAGAAACATGTTTTATAGACAGATTTGATGTGCAAGAAAATGAAAACAAAAAAGTTATAACATGGTTGGTAATGAAAAATACTGTTTTCTTTAATAAATAAAATAAAAACTAGAGCATAAGCATATGAAATGTAATACTGTTCTCAAAATTTAAGTCTTATCTATCACAACTATTCATTTAATCAACACTTATGGTCAATTGATAATTGACACGGTCACAAAGCATTTGCACATTGCGAATCAAGGTACATAGATCAAGCAGTTTGTTTCATGTGTACTATGAAGTTGCAAACACTGATAAAAAGGAACTTACAATTACACTTGTATATACACACACACACATATATATAATGGGGACTTACAATTACAAAGAAAACAGATATATCCACTTAATAAAAGATCATTATTGTAAGAGCTGCCAACTTCTTTCTTCTTCCATTAGTCCCCAACTCCTCGTTGCTGCAATAAAATTTAAATTTACAAGCACGGATGGAGTTCTATTTCCTTAAAGAGGATCATTGCCAGTAGCTCTAAGATTCCATATTTCAGCTCCCCAACCCCCAAAACCACAAAATGATCAGAGTATCACTTCTAACCTTTCAGTAGAGCAATTATTTCTAAAACAAGATTGCTAGTGCTCCTAGGACACCTCTTTTCTCTCTCTCAAAGCGTGGGTGACTGGGATTTTCCATTCTAATTTACCCTGTTCCATTCATGCCATCCATGCGTTTCCCTTGCAACTTAATGACCCACATTTTATATTGCTGGTGATGGAATTATACTTATAAATGCATATATGACATCATAAATCTTATTAGCATGAATGGAAGTAAATTTTTTGTCCACATTTTCTCTGCAAAATATCCAGAGATTAAGCAAGTGGGCCAATGTATGTTGGAAGCTGATTGGGGAAGTTAGATGACCACATTTTAAGGGTTTAGGGTTAAAATATATTGGAAGCCAGAAGTTCCTGCTAAGAGGAGAAGATGAGGCTCTTATTAAATATGGTCCCCTGAACATTAGTTCTATTTCCTCTCCTCTTTTTCCTGTGTTCAATTCTGGGTCCTACTCTGGAAACAGTTCCTGAAAGAACTACAAACCGCCTTTTTGTTTTTATGTTCTCTAAATTTCTGAAAGAATAACAAATAAATTGAAAACATGGTTACCAAATTGGTCCTCAGTTTCAGCAGTTATTTGGCCACCGGGTTAAATTGATTGTTAGTTTCTTAAATACTTGAGAAGTTATACAGGAAAAGGTAGAAATTGGTTAATATTTTATGGCAGCTTAGAATTTTTATTGAAAATTTGAAAGAGAATCCTCTCTTCCCCTTTCTTAAAGATGTGCTGCACTATTTTTACCTACCAAAATTATTAAAATTGAAAGCCATGACTTTGATGGTCTACTACCATTGCGTATAGTGAGTGAAGCTCTTTAACCATTGGTTAGATTATGCCTTACATCAAATCTTATTTCAACAAACTTAGGGAACTACCTCAGTTAAATGGTTTCTTTACTTCAATCTGAATCTTTCTGTTGAAGAACTGGTGTTGTATTCCTGTGAACTTTAGTCCCCTTAGTTTCCTACTGATTTGTGCTGCAGACAGGAGGTTTTGCTGTTGGACAATGAGATTGTCTTCAATGAGGCTATAATTGAGGAAAGAGAGCAAGGAATACAAGAAATCCAGCAACAAATTGGTGAGGTGAATGAGATCTTTAAAGATCTCGCAGTGTTGGTCCATGAGCAAGGAGCCATGATCGGTAAGTCGGGCCTTAATTATGGGAATTCACTACTTTTATACTTAGTTTTCTTATTCAATTTTTATATGGTTCAATTTGCAAAATCCAATATAATTTATTTTTCAGATGATATTGGCTCCAACATCGAGGGTTCTCATGCTGCGACAGCACAGGGAAAATCTCAGCTTGTCAAAGCGGCAAAGACCCAAAGATCAAACTCGTCTCTGGTAATTTATGACAAATTCTATTTGTTTTTTGAAAATGATGTGTTAAGGTGCAAAGCACCATTATTTTATGGTTTGTGCATGAGGTACCACTGAATGTGGGGGTTGCTTTGGTAGGATCTCTATAAAATTCACCTGTAACGGACTTTTAGTTTATTGAGACACTCTTTAGGTTAAGCTTTGTAACAAAAGTGGGACTCAGACAAGAAAGTCTACAATAACCCGGGGGTACCGTACCCCCAGGGCCTCTCAGCCGTTGGATCGTCCATTAAGTGGGTCCCACTACCGCATCCAACTATTGAGAACCTTGGGGATATGGTAACAACACCCCCCCCCCCCCCCCCCGCGGGGGCGGGGTATTGTAGACTTTAACGACTCAGACATGCCTGCTTTTTAATCTGCTTTAGTTGCAGCTCATTATTGATGGGGTTAAACCTATCAATGAATTATTAATCCATAATCTTTATCTCCATCTTTTATATTTGATACCAAATGATCGTTCTTAATGTGCCTGGTATTTCTGTTAAACGTTTTTTATTTTCAATGCAGACCTGCTTGCTGTTGGTGATATTTGGTATCGTGCTCCTTATTGTGATCGTAGTACTTGCGGCTTAATCTGGATAAAATGAGAGAACACAGGATGCGCTTATGGAAAAGATGCAATCTATCTGCTGATGTCTGCGGTTTTTATGTGGTTTTCCGATGCATCAAGACTGACTGGAAGGAGCCACTTTTATGTCTGGGTTGTGTTAAAAAATTATGATAACAGTTACAACATGAGTTGTTCAAATCGTGGGGTGGGGATTGTGTCTTCTGTAGATTGGTGTTGGGTTCTGTGTGTGTCATGGTCTGTTCTTAATGGCCATTTTATTTCATTGTAAAAATTTATAATTCATTTGGGTTCTTGTCATCTGTTTGATCAATGAATGGCACTGTTGATTTGTTAATTTTTAAAAAATTGACATCTACCAGTGTTAGTGTCAAACACTTCTCATATGTTCAAAAAGGTTGCCTTTGATGTTTTTTTCTTTCTGAAATCAACATTGCTAGTGGATGCTGGAAGGCGTTGAAACTTGACAAATGTTTATTGTCTCTCACATATCGCAGTATATACCCATCTTGCAGATCACGCAAAAGACTAAGAACATAGCATATTCAAACAAAATATTACCGTAAAATCTTGATACATCCTCTTTCCTTTTTAGCAAAATCCTTTCAAAAGGATGCATTGAAACTCATATATATTCAGTTTTAAGTTCAAATCTTCACAACCACGAGCTGAACTGAAAAGAGATGTGATGTCAAGAGAAAGATACAGCCACACATGTCAAAGTCTCTAAACAACCAGAGTCGATTCTTCAATCCCAAGATGATACGAGCCAACAGACAAAGGGTATCCTTGAAGTGACAAGATACGGTGTTCTAATGTTGATATGATGCTAAAGAGCTAAGACAATATGCGATGCAGAAACAAGTCCCCACTGTTGTTAAAATGCAAAGTTATCAAGCAAAGAGAATGATCACTATATTAGATTGTTTCATTTTTTTCCATAGCTCTGAATGTCTGATTTATAGATGGATGTCAAGACAATTAAAAGAGCAGATACAACGGCTGAAAGAAAAGTAACAGTGGACACAGCTCTGGCGTGTTCCTTATTCCCACAAGGTACTTTCCATACAACACCACCACTTTCCGATTCAGCACTGTTATTGGTCAACATAAATAAGCAGCTCTGATTGTTTGATCTTCCTTTCAAGCTGCAACGCATGAACAAGTCAGGTGCACCAAATGCAACGGTTGAAAAGCCACTTTCTCCTACAGGCTGCAAGAAGAACAGAATTTATAAGCAGTCTTACAAGCTTATACTTGCACGTTTTCAGTTGTCACTGAAATATAAATATATATAATATATATATATATATATAGTTCTTGTATAGGGACGCAACAGAAAATAATAGATTACAGACCCATTAGAACTATAAAGGATTCGAATAATGAACAGTGCAAATTTCTATACCACTTGAGCACTCTTGATTTTATTCTTTCCTTTAGTGGGACTTGATCCCCTGCACCTCCCAATTTCTATATGTTTGATGGCCATGAGTGTGTCCAAGCATTGGAATCATTAAATCCCTAGAGTCATGAACACCGGAAATGACTAAAATTCCTTGGTACACCTTAAATGTTCTTTTGTTTTCTGAAATAAAATGGTGTTTTCTGAACTTCATTACTTTTGAAGCAATATTTTTATATTACATAGGATGTTCAACAAAAGCACTTCATTACTTTTGAAGCAAAGAAACATAATTATAGAATTTGATATTACTAAATATGCTAGTTAGGAGATACCAGTAAAGCCATGATTATGTTTTTACATACTGCCTACTGCTTCACATGTACACAATTCAGGTTCATCAGCTAATCTTAGTCATAAATTCACATTTAGACTCCGGGACAGAATCTCAGTCAAGCCACACAAAGGACAAGCAAAGCTGAAAATAGGATTTCCAGATTCTTCATATAGGATTTTGGAGAAGCATAAAGGGTAGCTCCAACACTGTGAAAAAAATAAAATATGAAACTATTATTTAGTGGACCCATATCTTCTCCATGTTGTTGTTGTTGTTATTATTGTTACTCCATCTTAAAGCTACCATATAATAATGTCCTTTAGTGTCAAGGTTAGAATGTTAAACAAAGATATGATACCTATTTAACTGTAGAGAATAATAGGTAAGGTTTAGAAAAAAATTCAAAAAATTGTTAGCACACTTCATGATTCAGTATTCGAGACTAACATCAGCCCTGGTCTACACTCGGTATCTTATTCCATATAAACTATGATAAAATGCGTGATTTTCAGTCTAATAACAACGTCTGGTATATAAGTTCTTTCAAAGATAACCCGCCCTTCAAAGTTGGAAGTATCGATTGAATACCAGGTCTAATTGAAGCACAAAAAGACTACTATCTGCTGGATTTTTGTTCTAGCAAAATTATAGAGAACAAAGTGTTCTATTTATTGCTGGGAGATAAAGAATTAAATTTCTGCAAGGCATGGTTTATTTTATGTCTAAATCAGACTCTACAAGTCCTCAAGTCTTTTGAAGCTACCCCTCCAATGACATGTCATCAGACAGCAATCTTATTCTAAAACGCGAGAGAAGTATAATAGGAAGAGATGGTAGAAGACTGAAAGGCTGCACTTATTGTAAATTTCAGTTTTCAAAGACGAGGCGCAGGGTTCAAGGTTCGGGATATATATTCTCTATTATGTGACACTTATGGGGGACAACGGATGCTTCAGTATCTAGCTCTTCCACCATTAAATTTTTATTTTTCTTTTCTTCCCAAGGAAGGGGCTCTGGGTTTGAGGAAAAAAAAGGGGTTCTTATTAATATAGTTTCTATATGGGTTGATAATACAACTTTGTACAATTTTACATACTGAAAACAACCATTTAATTTGGTAAACAGCATCCTTATCGATGTTAACCAGAAAACTGGAGATTTGAAGTATATTCAATAGACATTTCCAGAAAAAAAGAATATTCAATAAGCAGCATAAAACTCTAGGTTGATGTTTAGCAAATTGATAATCTAACATTCCTTACAAGTTACATCTAAAGATAAACCTTTTTAACTTTTCAAAATCACTTTTTCACATACCGGGTAACGTGCATGTAATGGAAGCTCAACGGTGATATCCAATCTATTCTGATGTCTTGATAATATATCAGGACTAACACCAAGGTGGACCTCGACAACAGACCGATTTGAAGCAACTGAAGGGAGCTCTAAATTTGTGTCTCCAAACACAGCAGCATCCAAAAAGACTGCATCAAATGATTGAAACTTTTAAACCTTGGGAAAAGACAACTATGCCAACTTTGTTTCAAGAATACGGATAGGAGTTTACCACCACGCTCGATAAGATGTTGAAGTTCAAATGGATCTGCAAAAATTCCAGAGGGCAATCTTTCAATGATAATGGCCTCACAAAAGTGTGCAGGTAGCTTAGATATGGACCCCGACTGGATGTTAAATGTGATGGATGAAGATAGATGCCGATGAGAACCTTCGCCGATTAGATGGCGATGCAGCACTGACAATCTTGGCACAAGATCATGGTTATCCTGCAGCATTTCACATGATCCAAGGGGAAGTTCATGGGTTATGAAATCTTCAAAATCTGAATCAAGTAAGCTATCATGTTTCTCAAAATAAGACTCCGATATATATTTCTCTAGATAAGGCAAGGCCTCAATGCTTCGGCTGTTGACATCATAATTTGAATTACCCTTGCCCACCTGAAAATTTAAAATAAAAAGAGCATCAAAGTTCAAGAAGTTGAATAAATATAGGATGGTCCAATTAAGCAACATAAATAACTAAAACAATGTAGTACTGAACTTTTTACATATTTGGGCTTACATAAGTTGAATGATTAAAAATTAGAACTAAAGCAAAAGCCAAAAAATTAACTACACCTATTCAATACAAAAATAATTATTATTATCAAAAAGCATGAAAAAAGCACTACAGCCACTTACCTCATTGGAAAACGAAGAGCTATGCATGCAAGAGCCAATGCCAGCAAGAAAAATCAACTGAATCCCCACTACCAGATTAACACACACTTGAAAATGTTGAATTTCCATCGAACAGCTAATACAGGGAAAAGAAAATGGAGATTATGAATACATAATACTTCTGCTGTGAATACTAGGCTATCAAAAATGCTCACTTGCTTCTCATCTCAACTCAGTATCAAACTTCTATAAATTTCAGCAAAAAGATTATTCTTAGATACCATGGATGTCTGGAAAGATCCGAATGGTATGGAATGAAGATCAGCTTTAGAACACATTTATTATTGTATCTTAAGATCAGCTTTAGAACACATGTATTATTGTATCTTAATATTTCCATGTCCACTTATCAAAAATAAAAAAATAAAAAATCCATGTCTAGGTAATAAATCAGGACTTGTTCGCGATATTAGGGGTTCAAAACCAATATCAAGCCTTAAATATCAATGAAGAACAAACTTTCCAGGAAAAACAAGTAAATATAAAAAAATAAAAAATAAAAAAAAAATTAATAAACAGATGCAAATAAAAAATAAACTTCAGATTCCCTATAGAGATCAAGGTCTGTATTAAATATCTTTCAACATTCTGAATCCCACCAAGAACAACGACCGTGGTAAGATCTCAAAGAAGTTAGTTTTGTCAACTTCAGTTTTTAGCCAAGAACATTTCACTTTTTAAAGTTTTGATCTTTCTATAATATTGTCCTTATTCCCCTACTCGATATTATATCACTCAATTCCCTCTCCTAGACATTATATCACCCAAGATTCATGGCAACAATACCAATATATGTATATAAATATTGCAAATTAATAATATTTAAAAGAAAGGTATCAAATAATATTTCACCATATAGAATTGAAATCTAACAAATAATTATCCATTTCGGAAGAGCAAGTTTAGTGACTGAATACTGGTCGTTACCAAGCCACCAGATGTGATTTATATACTCTTCACAAGGAATTTCAAGCCAAATCATCTCAAGGAATGTCATGCAGATCTCACTAAAATTACACCCAGGCGGTGTTTTACAGTTGCAGTGTTTCTCCTTCACTGTATTAATACCATTGCTACATTGCATAGAATAAACATATACATACATATAAGCATATATATACCAAAATCTACCAAAGAAAAAGCTTCACAATCAAACCCTCAGTGTCTCACTCACCGACAAAGCATCAATTTGCGAGTCAATTTATTCATCAGACTTCAATTCAATCTATTCCACATTTGTTTCAATTGAAAAAAGGTACAGCTTTTGAGAAGGCATGTGTACAAACTTAAAAAACAGAGATTGAGCAGCAATACAATTTTAAAACAGAGTTTTTGTTCCACAGAATAAAAACGATCCAGCAGCTTTGTAAACACACTCATAGAGATATGCACACGTATATACACATATAAATACACATTTATATAGATTTTTAGAGCCCTAACTAAAAGAAGAGTGGTAAAATTTTACCTCAAGAATTGGTTCACTGAAATTGCCTCAGCAGCTTTGTATAATCTCTATATTAATCACCACCCATTATAAGTTTGTGATTTTAGAGAGAGAGAGTGTGTGAGATGGGCGCTCTTGACTCTTTGATCTCCATTGATCCACCTCTTTGGGAACAGAAGACCGGGTTCATATTGAAGTTGGGATGTACTTTTCCCAATTTACCCTCAACTCTCATTTTTATATGTTTACTACTAAGTTACTAACCGCACCTCAAATTGTAATTTCACTCTTCCACTTCAATTTTACGAAGTGGGAAGGGGAGAGAGCAACCTTCCCAAAAAAATCGAAAGGGAGAGAGCAATGGATGGAAAATTTTCTTGCTGAGTAAATTTTCTGGGGAAAAGGAAGAAAATAAACGAGATGAGTAACAGTAACAGTTCATTGTCATCATCACCGGCTCGTTCTTCCATTTCCACTACAGCAATCGCAGGGACGAATGCTCCTTCTGCTCTCGCCGTCGATGACTTCCACTTCCCTGCCGATATCATATCCATCCAAGATCGCAAGGACGAGGCACTTCTTGGTCAGTCTGTTTATCAATAGTTTCAATTGTTCTTTGAAATTCTACAATTATGGCCACTTAGGTACTTCAATTTTTGCATAATCAATCTGGGTTTTCATCGATTAACTATTTGTCTCTTTCAGGGTTTGATGTGTTGTTTTATAGAGCTTATTTGATGAGTTTAATTATTTTTGTGAGATTCTCAAGTTTTCGCAATCTGGGACTTTTGTATTTACATGATATTTATGGGTTTTATGATGTTTTCCCCTCAGGTTCTGTAGTGTTAAAGCTGTGACTTTTCTGGGGATTTCATTAAATTTGTTTAATGCTCATCACTTATGGTTATATATTTAACTTCTCTTTGTTCTGTATTGGACTGTTTCAAAGATGTTCATATGTAGGCGCTGAATGATTTCTTGAGTTGAATCCTTATTGTGTTTCCTTGATTCTCCATTTGGTTGCTGTAAAAAGAAATGGAATCGATTTTTGAATCTTGTATTTTCTGTCATGGAGGATTATGAAAGCAGAAAGACATCCACTCAACTAAGTCCATAGATATACTTGGTTAATTGGGTCTGGTTTTTTCAGCCAAAAAAGAGAGAAAAGAAAATTGCAAGCATTAGGATCAAAATATAGATGTGCTTTCTTTTTCCACCATTTTCTTAGCAGGCAGAGAAAATTATGTACATACTCAATGCTGCTTCGTTTATGCACTGCAGTTCTGAAATCTGATTTAATGGCTGCACTTAACAAGGAGGTTAAATCTTTGGATGAAGATAGCTGGATGTTTGATGGACCTCGGTCACGTATTAATCGAATATCAAGGCGAGGTAAGTTCTTCAATCCATCAATTGCTGCTACAAATTTTTTTTTTTTTTTTTTTTCTCTACTTGGTACTCACGCACACGTGTCTCTTCTGAGATTTGAACCCCTGACCTCGCTTTGGGAAAGTAAGAGGCTTATACCGCTAGGTCACTGGCCCGTTGGTCTACATATTGTGTTACATATATATTTTTTGGCAGACAAGTCATACACACACTATTGTCCCACACATGCACACATTATTGTTCCATTTCCCTTAGGCTTCCACATAATGTTGTATTACTTATTAAAAAAAACAAAAAAAAAAGGAAAGAAGAAGAAGAAGAAGAAGAAGAGAATTTTCTGCCAATGAGGAGTGACCTTCGTTCTTTCAGCAAGTATCTCCTGTCAATTTTGAGTCATAAGACTTTCCCTCGAATTCAAGATGGGTTGGAGATGAATGACGATGGCCACTTGTATACGTCAAAATAATGTAGTGAATATGTGGTTCAAGAAAAGCCTTTTAAGTCAAATTTAAATTTATAAAAACCACTACCAACACTACTAACGTAGCAAGAGTGAGTAGGAATCGTCCCAATGGATTATACATGTTGGAATTTAACTTCAATTCTAGCGTATCACAAGATTGCGAAAGAGATTTGATGAGATGATTAAACTACTTCAATTAATGAAAATACAATTAAAATAAACTAAGTAGAGATAGGGATTTAAGAGATATGAAGAGAGGACTTAGGGTGTTGGAATCACCACTAAGCTCATGTAATTAACCACTTGTTTTCCATTAATGGGGAATACATTGTTGTGAACAAAATGCGACTGCTAATTGCAATATTAAGTATGGACCATCTAATTTATGTATGAATTGTCTATCTAAACTAAGTGTAGCACAACCCATCAATTTTAAGCATGACCCATCTAAGTAGCAACAATTGTAGCACACATTAATCTAGAGAATCATGGAATTTGCAATAATAAGCCATGGAATATCTAAGCAAGCATAGATTGTCTACCTACCTACAAGCATGAATTAAATTGTAGAACAACCCATCAAGTATAAGTATAAACCATCAAATTAATTGACAAACCCATTCAATGAAAACCCATGCTTAGCCATCACTAGATTTTCAATCAACCACATATAGATATGCAATTAATATAGAAAAACTAGTGTAGAGATCAATTCCCAAATAATCACACATAAGATAACATGTAATTACAAAGAGAATCAATAGGAAGAATTAAATCATATGAATCATGTGAGACATAATTCCTAATTTAATCACACATAGATATGTAAATAAACTAGAGAATTAATAGGAAGAATTAAACCATAGAAATCATAGAAATGAACGAAGATTCATTAAATTCACAAGGTTAGAGCACTAATCACAACAATATATACATAAATCCCCAAAAATAGAAACACAAGGGTTTAGATTACACAAGACTTAGGGTTCATCCCAGCCCTAAGTGTAGATCTAGCCAATCATGGAGGAGGTAGATGTGGTCATGGAATCAAGCTCCAAATATGGCTCTATCTTCTTCTTCCTCTTCTTCTTCTTCTTCTTCTTTGAAGCTCTAGAGATGGAGAGAGAGTGGAGCTAGAGATGTCTTCTTGAGATGTGTCTCCACTTCCCTCTTTTATTCTAACCCTAATCTCTAACTTTCTAGAGAGATAAAGTAAAATTACAATGTAGAAATAAAATTGATAAAAGCTCCTTTACAAATGGGTCACTTCCCTTTATATAGAAGGTCCTTTTCTTAGTCACTAAGTCAGGAATATAGCCCCAAAAATATCTAATCCCGTACTATGTGGTAGGTGGACTTTTGGGCGCGCACGGGAATAAGACAGCTCGCTGCCAGCAAAAGTTCGATCGATCCAACTTTGATTTTCGATCGATCCAACTTTTCGATGGATCTGAGAAAAGTTCGATCGATCTCACTTTTTCTGCGATCGATTTCAGAAAGTTGGATGGATCCAACTTGGCAGATTTTCCGCATCAGCCTCTTTTTTCTCCAAATCAGCCTCTTTTTGCTCCGGATCATCACTAAGACTTAGTTTGACTCCAAAAAGGCCTTAAGAAACCATTTTTAGCCCATTTTAACATTATTGACCTGAAATAGACAAAAACACAAATAAGTACTAAAACGGAAAAATAAGATAGATAAAGGTCCTAAAATACTCAAGCTTAAGGGGTTTAAAAACGCACTTTTCAGCGCTCATCAATGAACTCCCAGATTGCAATGAATTTTTTTTATGAAGATTAAAAATATCATTGAGCTAGTTAGAAGCAGGAACATACTTGGGAACCAAAAACCTGTGGATTAACTTTATTGCTTGAGCATAAAAACATGATTACAGACATTTGAAAATTGCTATATAATTAGGTGGCATTAGTTACCATATACCAATAGATTAAATAACCTTAGGCATTAATGCGAGTCAAGTCAATGTAATGCCTTCATACTCTAATTGGTTTGCTGCCGATTAGTGTTTTGCTTCTTGGCACTTTAGGAAATGAAATTGACCCGCTCCAAGGAGTAAAAGCCTATGATAGACTATGGATAAGCCCATTCATTTTTATTTTTTCTTTAAATATAAACTCATTCTAGTATTCAACTACTAGTAGTAAATTAAAACGAATACCTTGATATTGATGGTGAGTGCCAAATCTCGATAGTATTTTTAAGACAATGAAGTGTGTGCTCTATTCTTGTATATGAGAATCAATGGGGCATTGCTTGAAGCAACATATAGGATTCATGACATAGAAGAAACTAGCGTGTGCACTTACACTAAGACTCCAGTACGTGCTTAGAATATGGAAGATAGTCAAACGTATTATTGTGATAAACAATTAGATTACTAAGGTTGAGTAATTTGATTTAGAGAGCAAATATGCTTGATGCAAGCAACACCAAAGTATGTTCCTACGTCTAATTTGATTTGGAATAATTTCGCGTATGATTAGGTTCATGGTGGCAAACATTATGAAGAACTTGCAAGTTAAGAGTTTTGGAAGTTAACATTTGAATTAACTTTGTTTCCACTTCCACATACACCTTTGAGTTAGTGTAAGTTGAAGGTCAAATGACTTCTTTTCAAATATAATTTACTCAAAACAGGTTTGAAACCTCATGCTCAGGCCTTCCATGCATGGCTTTCAAGTTATATTCATGTTCTGTAAATAAGTAATACGTAATAGCACCCATGTCCTAATGGAATTGAACCCTAAGAGAAGATACCAATCAAGCTAATAGCTAGTGGTTAGGGGAGCTATAAAGGGGGTTTAGAACTTTTTTTTAAAAATAATTTGGCAAAGCATCAGAGACCCAAAAATCAAACTCGTCTCTAGTAATCTATGACGAGATTCAGTGTTTATTTAAAAAAGAAAAAATATATTATGGTAAAGTGCAAGGCACAATTGACTGCAGGTATTGGTTTGCTTGGACTCACTTGAACAGTCCTACAATAAGCTTCTTGTTGAAATTATATTAGTCTACCAAAATTTACAAGTAGGAAGGCTGAAAGGAGTGAATCTGGTTCCATTACCACAGGATTAATTTATTGTGGGCTTCTGCTACAAGCGAGAATGCTCTTTCACCATTTTTTCAGTGATTCTAGTGGACTTCAACTTTACCACTTAGCTTCTTGCCGGAAAAACTTTACCTCCTAGCTATCTCTGGTCATTTGGGCAAACTTTTGAGCTTCTAGTTTTACAAGAAACTAAGGCAGCGATGTGCTCATGTGCACCATTAACTGTGGGCATTGCTTTGGTAAGATTCCCTTAGATTGTCTGTCTTATAATGGACTTGTAGTTTGAAAATGTATTTTAATAAAATGTTCTTATTCCCTATGCCAAATATTGAAGGCCGTCTAAAAACAAAGAGGAAAAAACATAGGCACTGTGACAGCATTTTTGTGTTTCTTTCAACATGTTTAGATCTAACGTGGGTTGGACAGGCCATAGGCACCCAGCTTTTGTACTCTCTCTTGTATACTGTCGTCATTGTCGCAGTGGTAGCTAGATATATACAAAGAGGGGTTCATGTTTAAAATTGGAAGAATGCCTTGTAGGAAAGTCTAAGCAATCTAGACCGACTTTAACCTTTGAAAATTTAGCTGCGTTGGAGGGGTGCCAGATAGCTTCATGGGATCTGCCTTGGAGATCTGATCACTGAGAAAATCAAGATTTGATTGGCAGTGACAGTCTTTCCTCATTTTTTATTTCAATAAACATACAAGGGAGTCTAAAATGGGACGGTTAGGCTTGTATTTAGCCTTAGAATATGATATTTTTTCTGCCTGTTTTCTATTCTAAATCTCCATTGCTTCATCCTATCTTCTTCATTCTAGTGATGCTGGCAACTCTTTATTTATTTTTGTATCAATTTTTGTTCACTCTTGGGCCTTTATGGTCCTTTTTCAGGTCTTCAGTACAAGCATATGGAAGTAACAAAAGATCGTCACATGGCCCCACCAAAATGATTCAGTAACTCTGCTGAGCATCATCTTGTACCCGTTGTCTGTCGAGAGCTGCTGTTTTTACCCGTTGTCTTGATTCTGGATGTTCAACTAGTTATCTAAACCTAGGAACGTATAGTTAAGTCGATCAACATGCACGATTTTAAAAAATTAAACACGAAAGTGTCAACTGTAAGTTGGGTTACATTTTGGATTCTGTTTTAATCAAAGCTATATAGGATTGTTGATTTACTTCTTTTCTTTTTCATTCGTTCTTCTTTTGCCGAATGTGGATGAGTTGGACCCTGTTGCTTCTTGAATTAATTTGTGATGGAAGTGTTAGTAGTTTTCATTGCATATTTTTTCTTGTTTTTGTGCATAAGCCCTGCAATTTTTATGTGATTAAATTGTATATAAACATCTTATATTCGACTACATAATTTTTCATGAGATCGAATCACCTTTTTGACACCAAATTAATGAAAACTATACATCATGAGATTTTAACTTTCAGACAAGTGAAGCCTTCAACTATCAGTGTGATGCAGTTTATTGGTTTGAACGCATGTCTAGTGTCAAAATCCAACACACAACAGAATCTTCAATTAATTTCAGGAAACAAAAGAATGAAATGAAATGAAAATCCGAATTAAACAAAATAAATAAATAAAATCTGGGTCATTATGAGTCTCAAGACTAGGGCTACTGAATTTTAGTCCTACCCACAAATTCCAACTTTGAGCCATGATTTATATGGAAGCAAGAAAAGAAAATGCATTGCCAAGTAGATGTTCAGAAGAGGGCAAACTAGACATTTCAAAAGATGAACAGGTCATGTAGGTGCATTTTCATTAAATTTTTAGAGTTCCATCAAATTGATGGTACCATCACAACCCTAAAAGTAAAAAAAAGAAAGAAAGAAGAAGTTGTTTTGGTGCATTTTAACATTAGGGTAATATTGATGTTTAAAGTTGAAGGTGTGATGTACCTAATAAAAATAAAAGCAAAAACTAACTCAAACAACTAGTACCTAACAAAATAGCCATTCATGTTCCAAACCTATATGGCTGGTTGAGTTGGTCGAGACCATGATTCAGAATAAAAATAAACCTAATTTTCTTTATATTTATCAATACACGAAATTTACGGGTAATTATTATGTGCATCAATTTCGACTTCCAAATGAATTTGGGGAGTCGACACTCGAGCAACCAAAAAATTAAATCAAACCCATGAAAAAAAGGATACATAATAAAACACAAGTTTTACAACCAAAAAAAAAAAAGTGCTAATTGCAGTCGCGCGAGCGACTGGGAAATTTTGGGCTTTTTATTTAAGTTGCAAAACAATTCCCATGTTTGAACAAGAATATACTTATGTTTTTGTTAGGTTACTTAGTAGGAAAGAACGAAGAGAGGTGGAAAGAAAATAAGAAAGAAGGAAGAAATTTTCTTCGTTTCATTCAATAGAGATAATGTAAGGAAAAAAAATTATGATGGACGAGTCATTCTTTATTCACAAAATTTTCACCTGTCCAAATATGGATGGAGAGAAGACAAGTTTTAAATTACTATATCATCCTTCATAAATATTTAATAAATCTCACAAATAAAATAAGTGATAACTTAAAATTTTCTTTCCTTTTATCTTACCAATCAAAGTAAATTGTCAATTTTTTTCCTCTTCTATTCAATTGAAAAAAATAAAAAAAAGAACATAATCTTTTTTCCAAGAATGTCTCATTCATCTCTTATTCTTTCTCTTTTATCCAATTTTCTTCTTTCCTACCATAATAAAAGTCTATTTAGTTAAATAAAAATTAATAGTAAAAAATAAAAATGAATGAAATGGAAAGCATTTGGTTAACATGAAAATTTTATCATGCTCATGTTGCCGAGTGCTTGTTTCCCAAGATTTATACATATTTAAGTTTATACATGGTTTAACTAGACCTAAGTCACATAAAGCGAGGGAACGAGAAGGAGAGCGAATTTGAAAGTGGGAGCGTGAGAGTAATAGAATTAAGTCACAAGCAATGAAAATTTAAGCGAGAGCGCGTGCGGAGGTAAGAGCTTGAGCGAGCTCGGAGCGTGAAAGCGACACCTGTTGAGAAAGATGAGAAAGACTGTATGACTTAGGGCTAGATAGAAAGTTGTGAAAATTATAGAAAATATAAAAATAAAAATAAAATAACCAACAAGTTAATTAGTGAGATTTGTTCAAAATTTAGATACTTAGTGAGCAATTTGCCGATAAGTTAGACGATCATTACAACCAGTAAGATCAACTTGGAACAATTTATTTATTTTTATTAGATGTCCTCGAAGGGACCCATAATAAAACAAATTATCAATATCACAAATGAGGTAATATTTTGAACTGTAAGAAGCTACTTTTGAAGTGCTAGTTTCAATTTTCAGGAAAAAAAATTCAATTCGCATATAACAATCTATTATTATATATGATATGTAGTTAATTTCTTCATTGAAAAATATAATTAGTTCTCAAAAGAGACCAAAAAATAAGGGGTGAAAAAAAGAAAAAACAGTTCAATTCAACAATCCAAAGCATAATCAACCATCTTTTCTGTAGTACTGTCGCAACATTTAGTCACAAAAGGGTGACCAAGAAGCTCAGCCACTGTTCCTCTCTTCCTCCAATCCTTCTCCAAACACCTCCAAACAAAACTCTGAAACTCCGGGGAAGCCTTCTCCGGCATCTCCGCCTTCTCCCCGAAGCAGATTGCACACATTAGGGTCGCCCAATCAGGTTTTTGCCCCGGACTGATAAACGGAAAATGACCCACATGACATTCCAACACCACCACTCCAAGCGACCAAACATCTCCGGCGAACCCATCAGAGCAATCCCCATTCCACCTCTCAGGATCGAATCTTTCGGGACTCATGTACGCACACGTACCCATATACGAGTCGAGTGCCTCTATCGTGCCTGCCCCAACCCGGCTCACCCCAAAATCTGCAATCTTGGTCTCTCCTTTGCCGTTAATCAACAAATTTGATGGTTTGATGTCTCTATGCACTATCTGCATGCCATGCAAGTAGTGCAGTCCTTCCAACACACACCTTGCCACGCCGGAAATTACATTCTCAGGTAATCTCCGGCGTACACGCAAGACGTCGTGTAGTGATCCTGCTTCCATGTACTCCATCACAAAGCAGAGATCACCTCCACCATCTGAATTCACAAACCCATTCTCGAAAACCCCATGGCACCTCACAACATACTGTGAATCCACTCGCTTGAGGATCTCCACCTCTCGTGCAGCCTGTTGTCGAATCGTAACGGCATCTTCACCAAACCGAAGGACTTTCAATGCATAAAAGGATGAAGTTTTCTGGTGGCGGACTTTATAGACGGTGCCACCATTGCCGTGGCCAAGAACCGCCAGTTTCTCGAGGACAGAGAGATTGCCAATGCCGGGAGAATCCAAACCTGTAGAAGATTGTAATGACGGTAACGGAGTCTGGTGGCTGAAGTCAGCTGCAGAAACAGGAGGTGGTAAGGACAACCATAGTGCTGGCTGGTGCCTCCTCTCTCTAACCAGTGTCATTTACACACACACACACACAATCTCTCTCTCTAGAAATCTATATATAGGGTGCAGGTTGTTTGTTCCCATAATTGGCGGGCAGGTGAGGGTTTTATGTGGTGACATCAGCACCTATCCTGGCTGTGAGTTGAGTTAGGTTTCAGTGAGCTTACAAACTGCAACGTGTAATGTTTAGATCACTTTTTCTGGTAACTAGATGCCCATTTTCATGGGATAAACATGTGCCTAAGGATCAATTAATAAGATGTGTAATACAAATACTTTGAGGTAATATAATCGAGTGGGTTAGTCACAGGTGGGTGTAGAATGATCTTGGCCGTTGATGCATTAACTTTAGATAGATGTACCCATCAGTGAAGTAACACGGGAAATACAAACAGAAACGCCTACGATTAGGGAATGTGTCGGCGGGAGCTAAAAGTTCAGATTCTTCGGATCATAGTCCGAAATTGATGCCAAAACCAAGTAACAGCCGATTTTCTGTAACAAATCAAAAAGCATGTGTGATATAGATATACAATTATATATATACACACACACACATAGAGACACGTGTGTGTCTCATCTAACAAAAGAAAAGTAATGAGCATGAAGTGATGTCTTTACAACTATATATTTAACGTCACTGCTGCATATGGTACTGTTACATAGATATATAAACATGAACGAAGTGTAAACAACCACGAAGAAATGAAATATGAACCAAAAATGACAGAAGCATTAAAACACCACTAAGCCTGTCTTGTTGGTTGGGTTCATTTAGTTTTGCACCAAAATGAGTTAAAAAAACAAAATTTTCACATTAAAAAAATTAAAAAAAAAAATAAAAACCAGGTCCTCCAGTACGTGCAAAATATAGCCACGGTGAAAAGATACAGTAACTATAAGTTGCTCTCTATTTTAGATACAATGAGGACCACGATGATACAAACAACTAGATTTTTTTCAGGATTTACCTCGGATGGGGTGGTAGACAAAATGTACATTTGGTGCAACAAGATCATACTATATTGTTGTTGTCTGAACTAAGATTGCCCATCTGTTCCGTAAGATGTTCCACATGTTGAGTTTTGTCCCATCCATTTTTTGATGGCTTTGCTTCACTAGGACCTTCCACTGATGTTGACTCCATCTCCTCAGTGTCCAGAGTTTGTGGACTCTCAACCAGAAACTGCTCCCAAAAAATATCACTAATACCAGACAAGGAATTGTCCCACTCCATATTAGGATCAGGAGACAAATTATCAAAATCTAATGAAAAATTCTCATTCAATCCCAATGAGGGTGGATCCGAGAATCCACCATTCTGTGTCTCAGTTACCACGTAACTTCCTTTGGAAACATCAATGCCGTTATCTGATGCCATTTCTTGTAATGGGCAGAACTCAGGCAAAATAATGTCCGTCTGGGGAGGACTTACAGGGGGCACGTCTTGCGGTCCAACCAGTGGACTCATAGCCGAAAATGGTATGGTTGTAACAATTTCCGAACTTGCACCAAGAGGAGAAGATTGAATCTCAGATACTACAGCTGAAGGGCCCTGTCCTGATATCCCCGAGCCTGCTGCCAAATAAGATTGCCCAGAAGTTGGTAGGACCTCCTTAAGAGTAACTCCCGATATTAGGCTTGAAGGACTCCCACCATCTAATGCATCTGATGCTGATGTAATGTCACTAAGCGGGAAAGTATCAGAACTGTTACTGAAGGTTTCAAGGTTAAGAGAAGAATCCAGTTTTATGATCTGGCTGACCATAGCTTTTGCGGCTTCATTCATCAAAGGTTGGTACTTGACAATCTGTCCATCAGCACGGCCACCATAATGATCTTCTGAGACACCTTCCTCCTTAAGCCTCCGCTTTTTGTTGCCTTCAGTTATGCGCCTGTTGCTCTCATTTTGCTGCTGTACAAACTGCGCCAAGAAGCCAGGGCTATGAACAGCTTTTGCCAGGAATGACATCATTTGCTGTTGCCTCTGTTCCATCCCCTGAAGGCGTTGCACCATTGTTTGCAACTGATTATCGGTGGTCTGTTGCTGCTGCCTCAGCTTCACAAGCTCCTGCATAAGCACATTCTTATCCCTTTTTAGCCTCTCAACCTCTTCCTCGAGCCCAAATTTTCCCACCTCGACACATGCAGTCACTGATGAACTCTGCGCATGTGGTTGTTGTGATTGTTGCTGATTGCTTCCGTGGGCAGGTTTTCGTCGACTGATACTTTTAAGCAAATGCTTCTGACCTCTTAAGAATCCCTCGTTCGCAAACTCCCAACGGTCTGGATCGACTTTCCTGAAACCCTGTTCGTCCACAGTAGCCCAAAATAAAAGGAAATAGGGTGTGAAAATGAAACACAATTAGTCAGCAGAATCAACAAAGATTCAAGTATCCATCATGGTGAAACAAAATGGAAAACATGAATTTTCAGGGGAAGAAAAATTCAATGGTAACGCACATAATTCATGATTGCCTAAACCTTCATCAAACCAGAAAAAGTAACAATAATATATAGGACAACTTTTTTTGGGAAAAAGATGGAACTTTTTCCTCCTCTTATAAAAATTAGGTGCCACCACTTCCGCTGACGAGAAAGTCTTTTGTTAGTCTTCATACCAGGAAATTTCTAAATTATCTAATGATCAACTCATGAATCATCAAGTATGTATCTAAAAGCTGGATTTGCACATCTTGTCGTTGTGAGCAGAGAACATTTGAGTGCCATGAAAGGGGGAAAAAATGACACAGGATTCAAGTCCTTTCACACAATATAAAACTAAAATTAACATAAAGGAAGAAGATGTGAACTAATATGAGCAATCAATGGCCGTTATTCCAAATCCACTGCTTCTGGTAAGGTCAAATCCTGCTCTTATGAATTAGACATAGAATACAATTAAAAAAAATTATTTAATTCTATCAAATGAACAGAAAGAGAAAACTAACAGTTTTTCCATTCCATCTATTGGAATTTAGGAAATTCCTTTCATCTATTGGAGTTTAGGAACTTGATTGTCTAAATACCCCGCATCCCTTCAAGAAACTTTTATGCTTCATCCAGTTCCACCTCTAAACAATAAAATTTCGGTTGCATAAACGACTGTGTCCACATATCTGGGGATTTATATACTCTCAATGGCCTCTGCAACATATTATCAATTCCTTTTCCTTAGTATCCAACAAATGTGACTCATGTACCCGTTATACACTTGCTGAGGAGGTCCAAATAACGTTGACAAAAACATGTAAAAGAACTCCTTGAAAACTTTGCCAGACAGATTTATATCGCACTTGATGCATCCCCATCAACAGTACTTCACAGCTACCCTCTGCCCTTTTTTGACCAGGCCCAATCCTTTCCTTTCTTCTACTTGATTACTTGGATGCTTGTGGATTTCCAAGTCTATATTTTAAAGAATGAAATCATCATACAGTTTTTTAATAAACTAACAATATATTGACAATATTTTGTATTGATATTTTTTACTTTCAAACTCATTACATAATCATGAATTTTACTAGTTAGGCTGTTAAAGTTCACATTAACAGTTAAAACTACACGGTTAAATAGTTTACTGGTGCTAAGTGCTAAATAAGTACAGTAACTGCTAAGAAAAAATTACTTATCAAAAAAAAAAAACTGCTAAGAAAAAATTTAAAATTAAAAGCAAAAAGTAAGATGATAAATTTAATAGAACAGTCAAAAAACTACCTCGACAAGTAAATTTTCCCTTTCAATTACTACTTCCTAACTACTTAGAAATAACTAGTTTCTTAGCAGTTTCTTAGTAAATTGCTAACCAAGTTAAACTGAGGGGCAAGAGAAAAAATTAACACCAGAAAATATTATTCTTTTGTAGTTTCATTATAAGTCATTTTTTACTACTCCACTATCACTACAAAACTTAAACTATAACCAAAAATACCTTTTATCTGAATCACTCATACTCTTAAATCTCAACCATAACCTTAGAGTCGTTATGCTGGAGTCCAATTAGTAGACTAGCTTCAATATCAGTAGACCTACATTCCAAATCAATAATCCAAACCAACCATTGCCTTAGGTCTATCTAAATAACAGCCATAGATATCATTACTCTAGCCTCCATATCAGTAGATCTACACTATACCAAATCAACATATCTAACCTAACACAAGTTTATAAATGAGGTAGGGATGCCAAATCTTTGTTTCCTCCATTGACAGGCCATATAAGCTGTTAAAATTAACGGCCATTAAAAAGCAGCTCCAAAACTTTACATCCTTTATGCTCCCTCACCATTTTGCAACAAAACTCGAGTAAATTTTATTCCTATGGTTATATCAAGGTTTAATGCAATCGAGACCTGGAAAACCTGTTAAGTGAAAGGCCGGCATATTATACCATGCATGAATCAAACAACAAACAGAAAATCTGGATATATTTCCAAATAGCACCAACAGGTTGACTGGTACTGGTATATAATTAAATTGAAAATCTTCGCAATCCACATACTTCCATATCCAATTCTACATAATGAAACATCACCTTGTCTTGACATGAAACTCCAAATCGAGTTCAGGCCCTTCTAATCTAAGAATTTTCCGTTACAATTATACCCTTATTACATAATTTGGAATTTTTTTACGAAAGATAATAGTATCAATTAACATTATATACAACACTAATCCTTTTATTCCCTCCTCTATTCCATTAATTTTGGAGGGATGAAAAGAAGATGGGCCAGAAGAGGGAGACCTCGTCCATCTATCCTTACCTTCCCTCCAGCTCTTCCTTGTACCAAAGAATGAAGTCTTGCTGCATCCCTCCTCTATTTCCTCCCTCCTTCCCTCTTCCCTCACTCCTACCAAGCGCAGTGCCATAGAAATTTGTCATATTGTGTTGAAGATAAAATGTTGAACAATGACAAAAAGTGTTTATTCAAAAAGTAGAAACTTCTGAGAAGCTTTACAATATGGAAATCAACTTTTCTTGACCAATAAAACCAATTCTTATGACTACTTCCAAGTTCCAATAGTTAGATCCCAAACTGACCCGCTTGCCAAAGGGGAAAGACCCTTTCCAACTTCCAAGTGCCAATAACGCATTCTCTTTGACACAATTCCAGAGTCAAGATATCAACATATGTAGAGGGTGTCAAACTGTCAACTCGTTTAGCAATTACTGAAATCTCAATAAATGTCTCATAGCTAAGCCTCATGGACTCTTCAAAAGTAGGTGAAGCACCCATGTCAGGCACATAATACTCAAATATGTGTCCGACACTTTTGGTTAGACATGCATCTAAAAAACATATCCAATAATTCAATTTTCTTATATTATTACTTCCAAATTAGTAAAATGCTTATATTGAACACTATGTTACATTTTTTTTTTTTGATACGTATATTGAACACTATGTTACATAAAGATATTATTTTTACTAGCACACATAAATCTTGGATATACCTGTTGCAAATTTCTCAATTTATTACTCTATCAAAACCAACCTCATACCATGCATTTTACTCTATCAAAACTATGAATATTTAGTAGTGTCCATGTATCCTATTTGAAGATTTGACACGCTTGATGCGTGAATACATACCCCTACCCGACACACGCACCCAAGTCCTTGAGACAAAACCTCGTAACAAAAATCGTCTAACACAAATTATTTCCTATCCACAGGATGCACATGTAGGTAAAAGTGGGTTCCTCAAAAGTCTTGGCCATAAAACCAAAAATATTTACTGGCCAACAAAAATCTTGGATATCCAATAAAAGTGGGTTTCTCAAAAGCCTTAACCCTAAACCCAAAAATATTACCAGCCCACAGCCCCACACAAATATCAAATCTAAGATCCTGTACCATGAGCTGGACTTAAATCATTGTTTAGATACTAATAAAGCTGCAATCATCTAGCAGATTTCAAAGGACCACACCTCGGATAAGCCCATATCCAAAATAAAGGCACGAAATACAAATTGTAGTTAAAAAGAAAAAGGGGAAAAAAGGACAAAATAATTAACACCTTCAAATCTTGACTACCAGCCCTCTTGAAGCATCAACAACCAGCTCCCCCTAAACCCACAAAAGAAAAAAAGAAAAGAATAATACTCCCTCTGTCCCAAAATACATGTTCTGTATGGGGAATCCAACTTTTTATGGTAGTGGAGTTTTAATAGTTTTTTTTATTGAATTGATAAGAGTGAAGTTTCAAATATGCCCTTACTAAAAGACAAAAATAGTGCTCCGTAATTAGTGCAGTTGTTTAGTTAAAAGGATAGTTTGGGAATGTTATAAAAAATAGTACATTCAATTTTGGAATGGTACGTGTTTTTTGAGACATCCCAAAATGGAAAGATGGACAAGTATTTTGGGACGGAGGGAGTAAAAAAGAACTAATTGAGGTATTCTCATACCTAATTTCATGTGGAAATAAAAAATAAATAAATGAAACTAATATCAACCAATTGAATAAACCAAGGATACTATGAAAATACACCAATTTAGAATATCCAACATTTCACTTCAAGCCTTTCCCTTTAAAATATTCAGTCAAATAACTCTAATACGCAGCTTTCTGGTCATACAAGTATTGCTCAGATACTAATAAAGCTGCAATCATCTAGCAGTTTTCAAAGGATCGCCTCGCTCCCCTTGGAACTAAGCAGCAAAATTAACAAAAACCAGAGAATCAAAGATGATAAGGTTGCACAAATCCTTATCTTGAACTTACCCACATAAGTTGATGAGAACTCCTAATTCAAACAAAATATTGTATTACAACTAAAATTTTTTATTATGGCCTAAACAAAAACAACATAGTATAACCAGTTAGACCATAAAACGTCATTGTAGAATCAATGTAAAGCTCATACTGCATCCCGTTTCATGAAAATCCATTAATACCAAATCTCATATTCTGAGTCAATCAAATCCTTAATCCAAAGAACTTCTATATGGGGTAATACTCCTGCTCAGGGAAATCTAATACGTGTTTCCAACTTAGTACCCAAAAAGATGTTTAATTCTCTTACGACAAAATTGTGATTCTCTCATCATAAACATTTACTAACTCGAGAGTCAAATTCAATGCTTCTTATCACAACTAGTACATAAGCCCAAACAACATAATCCATTTCCAAAAATCATTAATACCAAATCTCATATTCTGAATCAATCAAATTCTTAATCCAAGAACTTCTATATGGGGTAATACTCGTGCTCAGGGAAATCCAATGCATGTTTCCAACTTAGTACCCAATAAGATACTTAATTATCTTTCGACAAAATTGTGATTCTCTCATCATAAACATTTACTAACTCGAGTCAAATTCAATGCTTCTCATCACAACTGGTACACAAGCCTAAACAACATAATTCATTTACCAAAATTAGATTATTTACAAACAGGAAATGCTTCAGATCTAAAATTACAGAAGGGCCCTGAACTCACTGGTCTTACACCCAAAGCTAGTTACTGATGTCCTCCTTACCCATGCTTGTAAGACTCAAATGTCAATCCAAAAAAATGTCCCCCTGAAAAAGACTAATCAATAATGGCCACAAATGAAGGCTCACATTTGCTTTGAGATCAAAAGTTTACCTAGAAAAGAAAAAGAATTTGTTGAAATAAAAGGCTACTAAATTAAAGTAAGGGATAAATAACAAGAAAAAAACATTCAGACATTGCCTATCAAGAAACAGAACATATACCTCAAATAGGATTCAGTGCTCATTACTACCGTCCATGTCATCAAATTAGAATTACAAATATATCCTTAATTCTTCCAAATCAAGAAAACACATGTGGTGTAAGTTTTGGGTGATACGAGTGTATAACTTGTATAATTTCCAAGTCTAGGCATCCATTATTTACATGATACATGTGGTGTAAGTTAAAAATGTCTATATGGTGTAAACATGTGAAGATATCTTCACTTCTTTTCAAACATCCACATAGAAGACATACAAAATTAAAATTGAGAAAAAAAGTCAAGGATACTTCAAAAGCATGAGGAAGAATCTCCTCTATCCCTTTTGTTGACCAAGTATCACAAAAGTCCATTACTTATTGATCTAATCATAGTTCAGCTTAAATCAATTACAAGTTCTGAAAAACGAACCAACATTTCAAATACAGCAAAGAACTTCTCTGAAAAAGGTGCCTCTTCAACAGTTCTGATTTCTTCAAGATTTAATGATGATAGAATCATATATAAAATATAGAAGGGTGACGTAAATAACAAAGAATTATATATCTGAATTTCCCATCCTTAGGTAAGTGCCTTTTCCAAGCCACCAACCTTCTTTAACACCTCTCAATCATTTAGGCCAAAACAAACATGGCTAGAAAGAGACAAGTAGAGACACAATTGAAAATATTATAGAAGAAAGAACCTGCTATGCAGTCTAGGGATAATTTTTAACTCTAGCTGATTTTCCGCTTCAACCAAAACAATAAAATCAACCCGACTTGATCTACAATGGTGAAACCATGTCACATCTAAGCATTTGGTGCTACGATTTTAATATGAAACGAGCTAGAGTTAGATCCTCAATACTATAAACACATAAAAAGAGAATAACTAGATAGTTTTACCCAAAGTTGAAAGTAATTGAACCAGCTTAACATCAGTCAAACTCCCATCTAAACTTTCCTATAACTCCTCCTCATCACCATCATCATTATCTTAGCCTTTATTCCATAGGGATGGGGTCAGCCACATGAATTCTCTTTGTCCATTCTTTTCTATTGTACACCATGTCTTCTCTTAGATTTAATTTCTTAAAATCATTTTTAACCAGTTTTGGTCGGCCTCTCTGTCATTTACCTTCTAGGCAAACAACTCTTCCTCTTTTAACAAGTGCATCATTAGGTCTACACTAAACATATCCATACCACCTAAGTCTACTTTCCCTAATTTTAGCATCTATACGCGTTATACCTAGTGTTCCCCTCACACATTCATTATTTATCTTATCTCTTCTAGTTACTCCAATCATCCAATGTAGATCCTCATTTCCGCTGCATGAATGTGTTGCATTTGTGATTTTTTCAACACCCAACACTCCGCTCCATACAATATTGATGGCCTAATAACCATCCTATAGATATTCCTTTTAATTTATTTGATATTCGTTTGTCCCAAAAGATACCAATTGCTTGCCTCCGTTTTGTCCATATTGCTCCAATCCTCCTTACTACTCAACATCTATCTCTCCATTTTTTTGTAATATTGATCCAAGATAACAGAAGTAGTTATTTTGAGTAACTCTTTGGTCTTGAATTGTAATACTTATATTATCATTGTTTTTTACTTTATGAAATTTACATACCATATATTACGTTTTAGTTTTACTCATTTTTAAGCCTCTTGATTCTAATGCTTTCTCCATATTTTTTATTTTATTGATAAGGCTTCCTAAAAAAGTATCTACTAATACTATGTCATTAGCAAATAAGATACATCATGGGATGTTTCTTGTATATATTTTGTTACTTTGTCTAATAAATTGCAAATAGGTATGGACTCAACGCCAATCCTTGGTGTAGTCCTACTTCTACAGGGAAATCACTAGTTTCCCCGCATGTAGTGTTAATTCTAGTCAATGTCTCACCATACATACCCTGAATAAGTTTTACAGGTACTTGTTTTCCTATAACTATCACTTAAAAACCCAAATTTAACTTAGAAAGGGGTGCCAGCAACCAATCTGAATTTAAATATGTATGTGCGTCTGTAGCAAGAAAAGGCAAACCAAATGTGAACTAGGAAGCACATGAGAATTGAACATTTCAAATGGGAAATGAGAAAGTAAATATCCAATTGCAGTAATGTTTATAAACTAGATGTGAGAAAACAAGCCCTGTACAACTTTGCTCATTCAGCTAAACTAGGTCAACCAAGTAGTTTCTTTGCAGAAAGTGCAAAAAGTAACAAAGAGGCAGCTTAACACATCAAAACATGGAATTAGCAATCACAAAGGAAAGCATATGCATAACAAAAAAACAACATAAAGATATTCAATCAAAATAACTGTGTACTACTAATACCTGCAATATAAAAAAACATGTGTACATAAAAAAAATAATAAAAAAAACACACTTGTGATATAAGCATGAATTGCATACTGGCCGGTGCACTATGCAATATTAGAAAAGCATGTTATCTCATATTTCAATCATGTCTGACAGAAATTTGATCACATTAGCCATAACTGTTACAAAGCAGGTGGGAACTTACAAATCGTCAATTAATAACAAAAAAATCATTTCAAAAAATGATAATAAATGAACTTTAAAACATTAAAAAGAAAATGAATATTTTGCTTCTACATTCACCATGCAAACCTTCTCTGCTTTTCCTAATTTTGTTCACTACATGTCTTTTAGTGATCCATTGTTATTTCATCCTTAAAACCCAATTGAGGCTACCTCACCCATGCCATTGTATATTCTCTATGTCAGACACTATCTTGATTTAATTTCTCAGGTAAAAAATTGGGTAGTACTGAGTTGAGTAAGGATTAACCTTACAGTTGACTAGATTCAATACAAACAAAAATATATCAATTTTGACATTCGCAAATTCAATAACATTGGCATTATGCAATGAACTAAAGAATCCACTGGTTAATGATAGAACAAGTAAGAAAACCCTAATGAACTAAAGAACACGGAAAGAAATTCATACGTAAGTGTTCAATTGCCGAACAAAGCTAGAGAAGTTGTTGTGCTTGAAGTACTTGGGCAAGAGGTCTCTAGCGAACTCAGGAGGGTCCCAGACGACGAAGCTGTTGTTGGTGGGGCTCCAGGAGACGACCTTATCGGTGCTCGGGGCGTCCACCATGTCATAGGTCTTCACGAGGAACGGCGGTGGAGCATTCGCGTTCGGAATCGGGGCCGGAGCCTGTGGGACGCCGCCGTTTCCGCCCTGATCCGCGTCCATTTTGCCCGGAAAGATCAATCGACGTCGAAGCTGAAAATGAGCATCAATTCAAAGGGGTTTTAATATTTTACAGCATTAAATTAGACAAATTGAAGTGCTGAGATATTATAGGGTTTTGCTGGGTTTGAAAATGTCTACAATTGGTACAAATGAAAAACCCTAGATTGTAGAGAGATTGTGCGTGTATTTTATTAGAGAGAGAATGTGGTGGTTGTACGGTCACGGGAAGGCATTGGGGTTTATAAATGGTGGAGACGACGGAAGAAACGGGCACGACCCGTTGGGGTGAATGAAATGTCCTCCTTATCCCTCAAACTCTGTTGTACATCGGAACCCACCTTAGAATACTCTCTTTCTTACCCCCAGTGTCCATTTTTTCTCGCACTTCGGTACCCCTGTGATGAAATTGTGTTGGAAAAAAAAAATAATAATTGTGTTGTACGTATTACCTAGGGAATATATGCATACAGATTATGTTATTTGTGGGACGGTCCTGATTTTACAAACCTGGTATGTCCTGTGATGATTATGTTATTTGTGGGACGGTCCTGATTTTACAAACCTGGTATGTCCTGTGATGACTCAATAACGAATTTGAAATACGGAAGCAAAAGAAAGAACAAGGCCTCTAGGGGTGTACATCATTTCTAAGACACCAAAATGACTCTCCATGAGGCCACGGAATTCAAATGAGTCAAGTGCGGAAGTTAGGGTTTCAAACCCGACAAGAAATGAACCAAAGGTAAAGTGGTCATTTCAAATAGAAATGGATGCTACCAACCACACCATTGGAAGGAAAACAAAAAATGAATAAGGTTAGACTCAAGAATCGCCTGATTCGGAGTCCGAATGACAGATATGAAAACAGAATAAAGTGGCGTCCTCCGATTAAGAGATATCACGACCCTATCTCACTAAAACTGTCATAACTCTCATTATGGTTGGAGTTTTTTTGTGTGGTTAGTGCCATTGGACACTAACTTCAAGCTCTTGAAGTTAGACTCAATAATGACCTAATTTGGATTAAAAATGAGTGAAATATGGCTGTTCAAAGTCAATGCAGTAAATCTGTCCAAGAAAAACTGAAAAGGGCAAAAAGAAGGGAGGATCAGCAGGCTGACAGCACGGATCAATCGGCCGAAACTCAATGTTCAGCCGGGCTGACGGCACGGATCAACCGGCCGAAACTCAATGTTCAGCCAGCTGAAACCTAATGTTCAGCCGGCCGAAACCCAATGTTCAAAGTGCAAACTTACTGGAATTGCCTACGAAAGGCTATTAACCGGCTAACAGATGTTATCAGTCGACTGATGCACCAGATAGCAGCAAAATTTGCTGCTGCAAAGTGTGGTGAAAGTGCTCGGTTCAAACCTAATGCTATACATGCATCACATATGTCCCGAAACAAGTTTTAAAAACATTCCAAAGTGTAAAACAACCTTTCACAATGTAAAAATTCAATGCAAGTGTGTGAAACATACCATAGTGTGCAGTTTGCCCCAAATGAAGTCAACATGAGAAAATGGCTCCAAGGCCTCGTTTTAAGCATGTCCGCAAACGTATCTTACATATAGAAATGCGTTACAATGGCCTACGGCCTCATTATATGTCAAACGCTAAAAATTATATCCCAAACCTCAATTTTCAACACTTTTATAATAAAAACATGAAATCAAAGTGCACAAATGTAATCTTAAAGGTACATGGCCCTTGGCCTCATTACATACGTGTCAAATAAGTTTCAAAAGGTGCACTTAAATGCACATTACATACCCAAGGAAAATATTACAAAATTTGACATATTAAACCAAATGAAAGCTAACATGTTAATGTTTTCAAAGTACACAAAATACTCCAAGCAACTAAGTAAACATAGGGATGTTGTGCATCCCAAAACAAGGTTTCTTTACCTATAAAACAACCCAAACAACTAAGATGAGTAAACAAGTTACTCGTAGGAAGAAGTGCATTCGTATACCCTATGGTTTCAAATATCATGCAAGCTTAATATAGATCATTACAAAGGAGTATTCCACCTAATGTTTATGTTTTCAAGATGAACTAAGGGATCATTTCAAGTTACACAAGCAAATGAAAATAATAAATTACAAGACATACAAGCACAAGTATATTAAACCATTTTGAACATTAAGCACCAAATCACAAACTACAAGTAATCCATGATTAACAACTTAGAATTGAATACAAAATCAAGTAATTGGAAAGATTAGGATATGTGGCCTCAAGACCATACAAGTTGTTCCGGGCAATTACGACCCACAAGGTACTACCTAGTGCGCATTATGACATATGGAGAATTCTTATTCTCCGTACTAGAGCCAAACCCTAGCCACTGCATATTTCATATTCTTACAAGCTTCTAAAAATCAACAAGTTCATGACATATATTCAACAACAATGCAAAAAACTACCTACCAAACACAAGTAGGGTGAAACCACACAAACCATATCCTAAAGTTTCATGTCTAAAATAGCATACACCATGTTGAATTTTCAATGTGCAATTCGTTACACTTACAATGAACGTCAAATGTTGAATCTTCAATGTACGAATCCACACAATATAGTAATGAACTAACAAAGTAAATACAAGTGTAATCTACAAGATTTTCATAATATACCCTCTATGAAATCTCTAGAATTAAGCAAGTTATTAAACAATAACCTACCTACTCATTATGAGTATAATTATACATGCTTTAAATTACAAGTTCTAAGTCAAGCATATAAAATCTCTAATTATATGCAAATACAAGAATTGAAAAACGTGTAATCAATATATATAAAGCCCCAAACACATATAAAATTCAAAGGAAATAAACATACAACCACCCTTACCTTAATAGAGAATTGAATCTCTATAATCCAAGGCAAACCAAAGAATTCCAAGAAACCGTTCTAGGGTTTTATAGAGGAAGAAGAGGGGAAGCTTCTACCTTCCAAAGGTTAAGCCAAAAGGTGAAGGGAAATGGACCAATACAATGGTGGTAAGTTTAGGTTTAGGTGGTTCTTCAATGGAGGCAAGAGAGAAGGTTTGTGAGGAAGAAGAAGAGTTAGTGGAGAAATATGTATTTCTCCACTAACTAAAGGTTGTTGCCCCAACACACACACACCTACACTACCTCTCTCACACATACACAATGCAAAACTTAAAATGAAGCCTAAACTTGTCACAATCCTAAGCATCCATCCAAGGCTTAATCATAAGCCTATACTTGTCAAGAATCTAAGCTAACAAGTGTTCCAATCCTAGGCCAATAAGTGGGTGAATCTCCACCCTCTACATGTCATCATCCAAGGCATCCAAGTTTCACCACACAATTGCTTACAAGTGGAGCAATGAGAGTGTGACACTTGTCACACTTTTCAAAAATTGCAAAAAGGTCAATTTTCAAAATATCTTACAAATTAAATTATAAAATGGTCCCTAAGATTAAAAATAATTATAAAATATAATTACACAATTACCCCAAAAAGCGTAAATATTTTCGAAGAAATTATGCATCCATGCCCTTACATGAAAAGTAAACAAAGTAGTATACTTTTATACAAAAGTAAAATTATGTATTTCATGGAAATCAAATGTAATGGATGTATGCAAAGCCGGATCAAATCCTAGCACAAAAAGTGAGGTTACGCGAAAGAAAATGACAAACGGGAAAAAGACGAAAAAAAAAAAATGCCAAAAAAAGAAAGGAAGGAAAATGACCAGGTCATTACAACATCCCCTTCTTAAAGGGATTTTGTCATCGAAATCAAGCCGTACCTGAAAATGCGAACAAACTGTGATACCGGGAGCGAACCTCCTGTTTGAGCTCCCAAGTAGCCTCTTCGACGCCGTGATGTCTGCACAAGACCTTGAACAATGGAATGGTCTTGGTTCGCAAGACCTGCTCCCGTGAATCAAGAATCTAGACCGACCTTTCCTCGTAGGTCACGTTCTCATCAACAACAACATCAGTCCACCGCAAAACATATGATGGATCTGGCTCGTACTTCCTCAACTTAAAAACATGAAAGACATCGTGAAACCTATCCAGGTCTGGCGGCAACGCCAAATATGATGGCCCAGGTTTTTCAAACCCGGTACGTCAGCGAGTGACTCGAAACTGACCAGATAAAGGATCCCAAATGCGGAAGCGAAAGAAGAAAATAAGGTTTCTGGAGCTGTGCATCACCTCTAAGACACCAAAATGGCTTCCCGAGGAGTCTCGAGACTCAACAGAAGCAAATGTGGAAGCTAGGTTTTCAAAATCAGACAAAACAAACCCCAAGGGTAATATGGTCTTTTACATAAAAATGGGTGCTACCATGTACACCATTAGAAAGACAGCGAAAAATTAACAAATTTAGACTCAAAAATCAATTGATTTGTAGTGTGGACGAAGAAGATATGATCAAATGAAGAAAATGGTCAAAAAAAGCAACCCAGGACCATCTAATCAATTAGATGATCCATCTAATCGATTAGATGCCAAAACAAAAAGTTAGAAAATCTGCAGGAGACCATTTAATCGATTAGATGGTCCATCAGATCGATCAGATAGCCTCATCGATGATTCATCTAATCGATTAGATAGGGCTGACAACTAGAAAATGCTAAAGAAAAACACTGTTTTGAGGGTCAAGATGGACTTTTTTGAAAAAAGTTTGTGAAGTGACCCCCCCCCCCCTAAAATCATGATTTCTATATGACTATGTCAAAAGAACTTCTTATTTTTGAAGTGAAAGACCCAAAATGCCCTTAAGATCAGATTTTGTAAATAAAATGCAAAATGAGTCTATAGGAGGCTCAAATCACCAAGGAAAAGGTTTTGTGGGAAAACGAACATGCATGCAGACATAATATTATTATTAAGATACGTTAGAATGGTTCACGATTTCAAAATACCCCCGGTGCAAAATATGACCTATGAAACCTCAAAAGCGTGAAAAATGTCATTTATAAGCAAAACTTGCAACCAACGGACATAGATGCATTCAAAAGACCATTTGGCTCTTGGCCACATATCATTCATATAATATGAGTCCTAATGAGTGTGCTCGTGCACACTTTGCACCATCCAAATTGAAAATGACACGCTAAAATCTCGAATTTCATAATATTGCCTTCAAAAGCAAATTATGAATCCAAAGTGCATAAATGTGAACAAAATGGTGATTGGCCCTTGGACACACCTCATACATATTAAATGAATGCCAAAAAGTAAATTTGCATACGCAATGCAT